CTGACATTTTTAAATGTTCAGGGTTTCTGAAGAACATACACATACCTCCTTTCAACCACTCCCAAGGAAAGATATCATCCCTCCTTTGAATTAAGGAAATAGAGTTTCAGAGAAGTCAAGTTACTTACCAATGGTCCCTCAGCTAATAAGTGGAAGAACTCCAATTCAAATTCAGATCTTCTGACTCAACTTCAAAGCCTTTGCCATTCAGTTCATTACCAGTCCTTGTCCATCCTTTCTCCTCAATATTCTTTCCATTTCTATTGTCTTTCTTAGATTCAAGGTTCACAATCCCATTTCAAATTACCACAACTCACCAGAATTATTACATTATCACAATAAGCTCCCCTAACATAATAATGGCCCAAATGACACTTTTAGCTTTTATTTGTGATAGATCAGTTACAACGGTGGTCCTTATGCTTCATTCCTTCCTGTAGTTTTGCCATGCAATTTTGTATTGCATTCCATTCTGTCTCCTGGCTTGGCCATGAAATATTGCCAAAATAAGACTCAACCAGATGCTTAAAAACCACTTGCTTGTTTCTGCTTTGCCCTTACTCCTCATGAGAACCTGCCAGGGCTAGCCTACTGCAGGATTACACATGTGCATAGAGATGAGTGGCCCCAGTTGGTCCAGCCAAAGTCATCCTAATTCAAACAATAGCCAGTTAATGTACACCTAACTGAGCCAACCTTCAGCTAACCAATGGCATAAATGAGCCCAGCCGAGATCAACCGATCTAAGTCAAGATCAGCTGAATTCCATAAACTCAAAATTTTACATGAGGTTTTACACTGAGGTTTCGTGTCGTTCATTACATAGCATAATTTCATTTATTGTTTAAATGTTTTTATTAACATTCCAGTTAGTTAACATGCAGTTACATTAGTTTTAGGTGTAAAATGTAGCGATTCAACACTTTTCCATACAACATCCAGTGCTCATCACAAGTGTACTCCTTAATCCCCATCACCCATTTCCCCCATCCCCCCACCTATCTCCCTTCTAGTAACTATTAGTTTGTTCTCTATAGTTAAGAGTCTGTTTCTTGGTTTTCCTCTCTCTTTTTTCCCTTTTCATCATTTGTTTTGTTTCTTAAGTTCCACATATGAGCAAAATCATGTGGTATTTGTCTTTCTACACAGCAGGAGATACCTGATGCTTATATTATGTAATACATCATAAATCAAAATGGCAGAGTAATATTCCTTCATTATTACCTCATCATGTCACCAGTTCACTCAAAATTTTACTGATGATCCTGTGTACAAACTCCTGTTGTTAGCTGTCACCATGTAAATGAACAGGTCATATTCCTTCATTGCCATCATATAAAATTTCATTCCTACCCTACAACCCTTTGACAAACAAATCTTTCAGTTATTCTCCTTAGATTCCTATTTAGTCTTCTTAAAAAAATAAACAAAAAACACAGGCATGCTGCTAGCTCATCTGTCTCCTTTGTGCAAATTAAGGACCTCAAGCCTAGCCTAAAAGAAGAGCATAGGCGCATAGGCTGAACTTTAACCCCCTAAAAGTCTTTGAGAGTATCCTATGCACAACTCTACCACTCCACACAGAGTATCTTTGAATTATTGCAAGACTGCCTTTAAAAGACCTCTTGAATATCACTTTACACATGAAGTTTCTGTATTTAATCATATGTCTATATTATAGCTCAGATTTTTTTCAGTACTTGTACAAACTTTTGGCACTGTATTAACTTGGGTCCATTTATTTATTTATTTATTTATTTATTTATTTATTTATTTATTTATTTATTTATTTTTTGAGACAGAGACAGAATATGAGCAGGGGAGGAGCAGAGAGAGAGGGAGAAACAGAATCTGAAGCAGGCTCCAGGCTTTGAGCTGTCAGGACAGAACCTGACATGGGGGGGGGGGGGTTGAACTCACAAACTGTGAGACCATGACCTGAGCTGAAGTTGGATGTTTAACCAACTGAGCCACACATGTGCCCCATTTATGTATTGTTTTTAAAGCAACTCTATTTCCTAAGTTCTCTGAGAGCCAAATATGTTCCTTTTCTCCCTTATCCCCTTTGAAAATATATGTAACTAGTTAATAATACACAGAAGATCCTCAATATATGCTAAATGAAGTACTAATATATTTTAATGTATAAAACATATATAGACATTTATTCAAATAGTCTTAATAAGCATATTAGTAGTTGACAAATATCTGTCCTGTTCTCAAAAATGTTTAAACTATTTGATCAATATTCCTAGTAAATTATTTTAATACTCCATAAATATACAGAAATTAATTTATACTTTAGCATTCTAGACAAAACAAATGCAAGGCTTTTTATATTGAATACATTGCAAATTAATTAGTTTTTACTTATATTATTTTCTTTAATCATCACAGACCACCCTGTGAATTAGTATTAAATGATCTTTATAGCCTGGAAATCTGAAGTCCAGACTCAAGTTGACGATGTACGAAAGAGTCACAACACAAACTAGATCTTCCTGTATCAAGTTTATTGCTATTTCTCCACGCAAATGAATATGAATTTAGTTCCGATTTTAATTTAAAAGCCCTCCCTCCAGACCTGGTACTCCACTGGTTCAGAGAGTAAGATGATTAAGATATGCTCTCGTTCTCAAGGAGCATATAGTCCAGGTTGGGAAACAGGCATATAAACAGATAATTTAATGATAATATGGAAAATAATAAGGCTAAGAAACACAGAGGAAATGTACCTGGGGGTTCAGAGAAGGCTTCCTGGAAGAGATAAAGTCTTGGTAAGAAGTGAAGCAAAGACACTGAGGAAGAACATTATGGGCATAGAGGCGAATATGTACGAAGGAGAGGATGGAAAAGCATGAAGCTTGTGGAGATACTGCAAGCAGTGCAGTATCATTCAAACACATGGCATGACACATTTGCTAAAGTGGAAATATTAGGAGATAGAAAAACAAAGAAGCCTGGGACCAGGTGCAAAAAGAAAAAAATAAAGAGATTTGAGAATTATTTAGAAGATTAAAACCAATATGGCTAAAAGATGATTGAATTTAGGACTACCAGGAATCTGGGTGAGGCGGTAGAGCACCAAGAGTCAGGTGGGGGAATGGGAGGCAGAGGATGACTGAGTTTGGGCCATGTTGAATCTGAGGTTCTGTGGAACATTTAACGCATCTGTGCATAAGAAAGGATGAAAATGGAGAGTGAAGCTGAGAAACATCAGGCTTGGTGATGTGCAACTATTAGTACTGTTTAAACAGAGTTATACCCAATCACATGAGGAAAGACTAGACACTATGCCTGCAAAATACTTTATATGGTTAGGATTGTTAAAATTATTGCTACATTTGTTCATAAAGGAATGTTCTGAGCAAAAGTGATTAAAGTCAAGCATCAAATCACCAACACCTAAAAGTATTGTACGAAAAATAGTACGTCATAAAGTTTAACTCTGCTTTGACTTCTATCCCATGTTTGTTAAAATGATTTTCATTTTTATGTTATTGTAGTAGCTTTCAATTTTACATGCTTTATTTCTGCCTCAAAATGCACATTTATAGTAGTAATTTTCTCCTTCCAGCTAAATATCCAACGCAATGCCACAAAATAGTGCAGATACATCGCTTACAAAAAAGTCAAAAAGATTCAAAGATACCAGTTAAAGAAGAATATTCCTCTATTGCTTGCAAGATACCCACAGCCCTTAAGGTACAGATTAGATTATTTAAAATTTGCTTTAAAAATATCATAGGACCATCACTGATTGCTAAGGACTTGTGAACTGCTAGCATTATTCAAATATGTAGAATAGTGAAATGTAAATCAACATCGGAAAAAAAGTGTCAGAGTATTTATAAAAGACCTTGGAACTATATCTTTTATACAGACATATAAATATGAAAAGGACTACAACAAGAGTTCTTCATATAGGGTTATGAGATTACCTAATGGAGATGTGATAAAGGGTTCTCAGTTATCCTTTCCATTCTGAGAGTCTTTAATATCTTAATCATACACTTCAAGTTAATAGTACATCTGGGTTTAGAAGTTTATCAACTTTAATATATAATTTTCAATATTTATGAAAAGATATTTGCTACAAGGCATAACTTCATGGAGGGAGGTCAACTCTTCAACATTTCTGTAGTGTCCTTAAAGTGGAGGGCCAATAAAATTTGTATGTAAGAGAAAAATATAGTGTATTGGGGTTGATTGTTAAAAATCTCATTTATATTCTATAATCTTTCTCATACTATAACAAACACAATTATTCTATTTTTAAATAAGAAAACTGAGCCTCAGTAATAGCTTTGTATGTAAAAAAGCTTGAAATTCTTAAAATGATATCTTTTTCTATAAAATAAGATGCTTTACAAACATATTGAAAAATATCTACTCTAACAGTTTTAGTTTGTTAGAGTAAGGCTAAATGTTTCCCTTTTCTCTAATTTCCAAAACATATTTTAAAGAAACTGGTTGAATGTTTTTGGAGAAGAGAGGATAATACATAGAAAATTCCGAGAATTTTTGAGGAGGTGCTAGGCATTTTTAAAGAGAGACAAATAAAATATAATTAGAGAGTAGACTTCCAAACTACAATCATTTCCAAAGATCACACATCTGAAAAATGGAAACTATGTATTTCCAAATGTCATAATACTGTTTAAAGAGCAAGAAAGAGAAAACTAACTATTCCCATATTTGGGTGATTGAAAGCTAGCTGATCAACAGGTGATTTTTCTACACCCACCAAAACATACAGATAAAATTTTCAAAACAAAGACCTGATAGGAACTCAGGCTTCACACCCACCATCACCAAAGTACCACAGATTTAAGATAAGATTTTATGTGAACAAGTAATAATCTATTTTTAAACTTTTCTCACCATACATACACATCATACATTTTAAGCAAAAAGACTATTCTAAGAATAGAAATAAAGCAAAGTCTTGGCACATTTGTTATTGCAATAGGAAAGACAAATATTACCCGGAAGCATACCTGTGGCAGGGCTGAATTGAGCTGTCTCTGGAGCGAATCTCTGTCATAGATGACATCCTGTAGTCTTTGCTGGGCAAGTGAGAGGCTTTCTTGGGTCTCCCGAAGGGTGTCAAGAAGACGGTCCCTTTCATCTAGCATATTCACCATCAGCTGCTCAAAATGGGAGTCTGAGTCTGAGCCACTGCTTTGGGACCCCCTTTGGCTCATTGGGGTGTCCTCATTAATCGTGGGCATCACTTCACACATCATTGCTTAAAGGAAGGAAAGGGGAGGGAAGTCTTAGTACTAGGAAACTACTTGCAATAATGCCACTTAACCCTCAACTCACCAAACTCTGCAACTCATTAGTCTGATTGTCTCTTTCTTCTCCTACCCACTGCCCCAACTCCAACTAAATATTTTGACCTCAATGAAATAGGACTCATTGACTTCGGCCAATCTACATCCTTTCTCTTTTATTGGTAATCTATAAACTTCTACCTACAGGATACAACTTGGCTTCACCTACTTCTCAAAGATTTGGGTTTTTTGTTTTCATGATTTATTCCGCCAGTTCAATTTATAGTAATATGTTATTCAAGTTACTAAGTGATCACCTTTCTTCCCCTGTAAGCTTACAAATCTCTTGTAGCTAACAGCTCCATGTTACCGTTATTTGTTATATTGTTAAAAGCAAGCACAGTGTCTGGCTCTTAATGGGTAGGAAGTCAATGACTTTTGAATGGCTTAAATAATTGAATGAATTAATGTTCACTCTTTCCTTTAGGAAATCTATGAATTTTCATTTATGAAAATCTATGAGTATTCATTTTATATAATAATCGGTTTTGACTTTTTAATTTTACCAACAGATTTTTTTTTTTGCATACCAACTAGTTTATAGTTTCTTGACTTTACAACTCCCATTTTATCACCTTTATGTGCTCTCTGCCTAAATTGTTAAGGCACTTTACATAAAGTAGATAAAGTGATATTAACTAAATTAGATAGAAGCTTTATGAAATAGACTGAGGTGCATCAGTGTGTTTAGGTCATTATTCTACTAATTACACTTAGTATTCCTTTGTCTCGTGTGAACTGCATTGTGTGTTTTCCGTCCAAACAATACAAACTAACACTCTTTCAAATATTCCGCAAAACAGACACGATAAATTACATTAGCTAACGGAGTAACTTCACATCTCAGCTGTTAATCACAAGCTTCCAGTCATGAAATAAATGAACTGTTCAGAATATTTTTAAATCATTTATTAATTGATTTAAAATAGACAACAGACTTTTAGGTACACTGATCTATATAGCATTATAAAAATTAGAGATTATCTCATTTTCTCTTTTACCTTCTATCTTATGTTTAAAAAAGAATCAAACCCATCTCGATTTCAGTTGCTGTACTAAGGCCAGGAGCTATTAATTAGAGGGCTTGATTTTGCAGAAGACTGATGTGGAGACATGCTGGTTTGGCTGTTGATCCTGGAGCATTCTTTGGTTTTATAATGCAAGGTCAATTCACTTTTCTGCCTATATATTCCTGTCCTTGGGGAAAAAATTTCTGGTGATATAGTCAAATAAAATGTCAAGACCTGACAGCTCAATACTTAATTACTTTTATGCAATTCTTCATATAAATTGGGTTACTGAGGAGACAAATTCAATTACCTGAATGATTTGGTCAGGGCTCACTGAAAACTAGGAGAAACTTTTTAAAAGATAAAAGAAAAGTATCCTGTGACTGATATTCTATATAAAAAAATTCGGGGGAGGATGAATTTTAGGATAATTCAAGATAATAGTTTGAATTGTTGCTCACCACTCAAAACACTGAGCTATCTGGAGGCAAAAAAGTGGACTTGTTCAGTTTCTTATCCATCTTAAAATACGTAAAAGAATAGACACATAAGATGTATTTAAATGCATATGTGAGTGCACACATATGTGTGCACACACACGTTCATACATGGTTACTATGGCTAACCACTTAATAGATGAAAATATAATATTTTATTTGCATTTTTCTCAATTTGAATTTTATTGTACTATCACAAAGATGGAAAGAAGACTCTTTTCTAACTGCTATACATATCCTTTTCATTAATTGAAAAGGAACTGGGAAAAAAATGTTCCATCACATCTGAATATTAAAAACAATTAGTTCACATGCCATGTATGAAAATCCACACATTGAACAGCTGTGTCATTCTGAGAAATCATTACCAGGAGCCAATGTGTTTCTTTTTGACATTTAAGGTTAAAACAAAATCCTGGGAGAGGAAATGATAGCACTGTGACAATTTGTGCCAGAACACTTGCACGGATTACATTTTAGGGTTACTTAAATATTCTTAAATCCATATTTTACATCATATCCTTCCTAAAAAAAAAACCCTGAGTTCATCTTCACTCTGATTTACTTATAAAAACTTGAAATTCCAAGGAAAAGCATATCTGCAGTGATTACCTCAGCTACAATTTCCTCCTGGATATACTACCTCATACTAACAAAGGCTTGGTGTCATCATGGGACATTAGACATTCACAAACTTTAGGCTCTTAGATCAGTATAACAGCTTATGTCTGATTTAGTCAACCCAGAGATGCTACCATGAGAAGCAGCTTAGGGACTTAGGGTCTTAGTCTATTAATTCACTCAACTTGATTTGATTTCATAACCGAGGCATTGGAATCAGAGCAAGTCACATCACCTCTCAAAACCTCGGCATTCTCTTCTGTAAGGGAGGGAGAAGAATCCATGATTTTCTTTTAAAACAAGCCCATTGCAAGGCTTCAATAGAATACCTAACTGAGATCACACAGTAAAATTCTAAAGGGCAATTCACAAATTCCAGTATTTATTCATTGTATAAAGTGACCAACATTCACCTTTTCAGGCAGAATATTTTGCCTTCTAATTCTAAGACTAAAGTTTTAATCCAGTAGAGCACTCTGAACTCCTCAAATCCAATTTGAAAAACTAAACTATGCAAAAGTTACTTAGAAAATAAGATGAACTCATCTGCCTTTTCTTCACCAACAGACAACCAAAATGAGTAAATCTGAAGTCTTCTCACCAAAACTAGAAGATAAAGTTTTTCTACAAAATTTAAAGGGCACTTTCATGAACTAGCTTAGTTTCTGGCACTAGAACTTGGATTCTGTCTAATAGAAATGATAAAATATTTGTATAACCCTGAAAATATAACCTATTTTTAAATTCACATTTAGGTATTAAATTCATACATTCATTGTGAGTTAAACACCGTATTATACAATGGTCAACATCTGAAGTAACTTCTAGACGCTGTCTATCCTCTAGTGTACTACATCTTCTTATACCACTTTTAACTTTTAAAGTCATTTTCAGTCTTAAAAAATGTATTGTACCACATAATTCCTGAAAAACCAGGAAGGACATCCTAATAGCTCACTTGGATATTTGCCTTTTCAGCACCCCTCTCCAAAGCCAATTGAATTTATGAATTATGTTATCCTCTTTGAGATGTTGATGCCTTGTTCAGTAAATTAGAGAAGATTTCAAGACCTAATTAGAGATATTGTTTATTTTTGTTGTGAAAGGGAAAAAAAATAATATAGTGGTTGGTTTAATTGTCCCAGTGCTTAAATTTAGCTGGAAGAATTTTATACCAGGAAAACCAACTCCCTTACTCTTAGTATGTAACCTTGACTGTCTTCCAGATATCACAGGCTTCAAAATAAAAGTTTTGAATGCCCACTGGAGTCATTACCCAAGGGCTTTCAAGATCCAATGTGTTTCTTAGCAATATATGCCTTGCAAGCAGTACCTATTTAGATATGATAATGTTACAAAAGGCTTTTTTCTGTCAATGAATCACTTTATTGAAGCAGATCATTGGGATTTAGAACCGACTAGAGGCAAAAGATGCAATTATTCTGGGTAGTTAGTTTCCTCTTCAAAGATTTAGTCCTAGGAACCAACCCAGCTCCACCTCAGTTAACCCACAAGGAGTAAGAGAAATCCTAGCCATTGTCTGATTACATTACATGAATATTCCTCCTCCTATTTAACTCTTTGAAATCCCTTGTCCTCAGGAAATATTATCACCACCTCTAATGGAATCATTTTGCACTTTCTTTACCCCAGTGCTCTTACAGATGGCCAAGAGCCAGCTCTTGCCACACAGCTGGACAGTTACCTCTCAGCCACACCCCCCACCACCACCACCCTGAAGTTGACTTCATAATTTCCACACCAACATTCTTTATCGCCTGCCCAACAAGAGAGCTAAGTTGGGAGGAGGTGGAGAAATAGGAGAAGAGAGAGGATGGGGGTGGAAAGCAAAAGGTAAGGAACAGTAATTGGCAAGGAGGAATTTGCATCTCATCTTCCCTGGGGGCGGGGTGGGGCCGGGGAAGGGGGTGGGGGGGCTGGTAAAAATAAATAAATAAATAAAGCGGAAGGGAAACCTTGTAACTCAAACACAGTTTCGGTACCTAATGTCTGTAATTTCGGGTCCTGCTTCTTCAATTGATCAATGACAACCGCAGTCTCGGGCTTGACGCGAGAGGAAGCTCACAGCCGGCGCTCCCGGACCATTTCCCTAGCAACCGGAGGAGAAAGGCGGCTCACACACTCGCGTGCCCCGGCGCCCTCCCAGAACGTGCCCCGGCCGGGTGGCGTGGCAGCAGCCCGGCATCTTCCCGCGGCTCCGTCAGCAGCCAAAAGGAGAAGCGTCCATCGGAAAATGGCATATTACAAATTTTGCTTTGGGAAGCAGAGCTCGGTTCAGACCATTGTCAAAGGGAGGAGAGGGGGAGGCGGCTCTTAAAGCAGTAGCGGCCCCTTTGCCGGAGCAGCCTCGGCTCCCCGCGTGCAGCTGAGGACCCGGGGCGCGGAGCCGGGAGCTGGGGACTGGGTTTGACTCCCAGAAACTTAACCGAGCGGCGCCCCTCCCCCACCCCCACCCCAGCCACCTTCCTTCCCCTTTCCAGGCCGCGCGCAGGGGGGGGTCCCTCCAAACGTGAGCTGCGGGGAAAGGCGTGAGGAGAGTGTGTAAGAGAAGTTCTCCACCCAGTCCCCCACCCGGAGCCCCTCCGGAGTTGACGGCTAACGCCGAGAGTTGGAAAGCTGGAGGGAAGCGACTCCCCAGGGATGTGGGAAGCACGACAGGTCGTCTCCCGGCCCCCTGACTATTTCTGCCCTCGGGCGTCTCATTGAACTCAAAAGAGGCGCCTCTCCTCCGGAAAGGCGAGCGGTCGGCCCCCCACACCCAGGTTCTCCTCCCAGAGCCTCCTCGCAAGCCCCGGCGCCGGCACCGGGCGGCCGGGGAACCAACCTGCTGGGAGCCGGTGCGGACGCTACAGCACCTTCTCTCCTCACTTGCCTCGTGCTGTTGCTGCCGCCGCTCCTCCTCCCCCGCCTCTCCCCCTCCGCCGCCTCCTCCTTGGCAGCCGCCGCCTCCTCTTCCTCTGGAACAAGGGCTTCCCCTGGAAGCTGCTGCAGTGGTTTCCACCGGCCCTTAAATAAATTCTGAAGTAATCACGTCTTTGCTCTCCTCCTCACGCACACGCGCTCGCGGATACACACGACTCCCTCAAAGCCGCTCCCGGGCTGCCGGGGCTGGCGTCCGTCCCAGGGCCCCCTGAGAAGCCAAGGCTGGGGATGGGCAGGTGTGGGAAGGGGGTGCGCTCTTCCTCGCCCGGGCTTCCCCCGCACAATGGTCGCTACAGGAAGGCGCGTGTCGGCCGGTGCTGTGGGGAGGCCGAGGCGCATGGGCACCTTCGGGCTCTCTGGCCTTCCGAGCTGGTCATTCCTTTAAGCAGCTCCCCGCTCCCAGGACCAGGGCATGGTAGTCATGGTTGACCTGAGTCAAGCTAGGGCGTGGTGGCATCTGTCCCTTCTCACTACCTCTCCAGCTCTTCTCCATTTATTGCTTTGGAGATAAGGATTGTATGTTAAGTACTCCTTGCCCTAGTAAATTTCAGCTTTGAGCAAAGTCTGGTGTCTCAAAAGGGGTTCCAGTCTCCGCCCCCCCACCCCCATACCTACACATCTCTTTAACCTATTCTCCTTTCTTTCTGGCGTCCATACAGACTCATCCCACCAGGAATAGTGAGGAAGCAGGACACAAAACAGTACCTACTCTATGCAAGTAGGAAATTAGCCTATCCTAGTTTTAGTGAAGGGAAGAGGGCATGGAGGAGGGAACAGGGCGAAGGCTTAAACACTGTATGTAATATGGGGGTTAATGCAAGTATCCTCAGGATGTAGGGCAAGAAATCCCTAAACATGTTTTGCTTTTGTATAACATGAAGAGTCTGAAGCCAACTGAAGAAATACTTTGCAAATACCATCTCACTTAAATTAAGCATAATGTCAGGAAACAAAATCTTTTCTTCTGAAATAGCATTTAATTCAGTTAGCAACCCCACAGAGAAATGTGAGGTCAAGTTCATATATTTCCTCCTCCTCTTCTAGACTGTTATTCAAATTCTGCACCAAGACATAATCTTATAATAATTAAGTATAAGAACTAGGTATTTGTCCAAAGGATACAGGAGTGCTGTTTCAAAGGGGCAATGCACCCCAACGTTTAAAACAGCACTATCAACAATAGCCAAAGTATGGAAAGAGCCCAAATGCCCATCAACTGATGAATGGATAAAGAAGATGTGGTGTGTGTGTGTGTGTGTGTGTGTGTGTGTATGTGTATATATATGTGTGTGTATGTATATATATGTATGTGTGTGTGTGTCTGTGTGTGTATAATTGGAATATTACTTGGCAATCAAAAAGGATGAAATCTTATAATTTGCAACAATGTGGATAAAACTAGACTGTATTATGCTAAGTGAAATAAGTTAGTCAGAGAAAGACAAATATATAATTTCACCCATATGTGGAATATACGATACAAAACAGATGAACATAAGAGAAGGGAAACAAAAATAATATAAAAAGGGAGGGAGACAAATCATAAGAGACTCTTAAATACAGAGAACAAATTGAGAGTTGCTAGTGCGGTGTTGGGTGAGGGGATGGGCTAAATGGGTTAGGGACATTACGGAGGACACTTGTTGGAATGAGCACTGGATGTTATATGTAAGTGATGAATCACTAAATTCTATTCTTGAAATCATTATTACACTATATGTTAACTAACTTGGATTTAAATTACAAATAATTAGGCATAAGAATAATGAGATGATTCATTAGATGTCTACTGAAGCATTATTTCTCAAACATAAGGTGTATATAGATTACCAATGGATCGTATTAAATTGTAGATTCTGATTCGCTAGGATGGGGTAAACCCTGAGATACTGTACCTCTAACAACTCCCAGATAGGATCACACTTTGACTAGCAAGGGTCCAGACCATTCAATCAACCTACCATTTGATGTGGCTTAATCACTCTTAACTACAGAAAACTCATTAACTCATGAGATGGTCCAGTCCATTTTCAGATAAACCTAATTTAATAAAACTTTTGCATATTAATTAGATGCCAGTGCTCTTTTAACTTTCACTCCCTGGAATTTCCTAGAAGACATATAATGCCCTTTATACTTAAGAAAACTTCATATGCTTAAAGACAGTTCATATGTCACTCTGCAGAAGAATTCCTTCCTTTTTAAACCGTGGTTCTAATTTCCTTAGTAATCAACATTTGCCTTGCACAGATTCAGATGTTGTTACCGTTTCCAAGAAGAGTGTTGATTTCCTTGACTCCCATTCACACATCAAATAAAAGTTTTAATTCTAAGTATAATCCCCACCTGAGGCTGATACACAGTTAAAGGATACCCAGTAGTTACTATCACAAAAAGGAAGAATTTGATAATGGAAGGCAGGAAATAGTCATAAGTAAAAAACATTTTAGTAAGAAGAGATAGTCTTCATGGGCAATCTCAGCTTAGAAGCTATACATTTTCATTTTCTCATCACTAATATAACCACAAAAAAAAAATAACATTTTTGATCAAAACTGAGGGGCATTTATAAATAGCAATTTTACAGAAGAAATTAGGGTTGCCAATTCACATGAGTCAAGAAGAGTCACCTCCTACACCAATTCTTCTAATTTAATGGCCCTCAAATTTAGCACATAAGAGAATCTCCAGAAGGCTTGTTACAACACAGATTTCTAACCTCCATCCCAAGAGTTTCACATTCAGCAAGTTTGTGGTGTGGTCAGAGAACTTGCATTTCTAATAAGTTCCTGGGTAATGGAATACTGTTAGGTCAAGAATCTCACTTTGAGGGGTGCCTGGGTGGTTCAGTCAGTTAAGCTTCCAACTTCGGTTCAGGTCATGATCTCATGGTTCGTGGCTTTGAGCCCCACATCGGGTTCTGTGCTGACAGCTCAAAGCCTGGAGACTGTTTTGGATTCTGTGTCTCCCTCACTCTCTCCCCCTCCCTTGTTCGCACTCTGTCTCTGTCTCAAAAATAAATAAACATTTAAAAAATTAAAAAAAAAAACAATCCCATTTTGAGAACCACTGGTTAAATAAATCTGAAGAAATCTGGGAACAAAATACATAGAGATCCAAATAAACATTCATCTTATTCATTCAAGACAAAAGTCTCTCAAACAAATATAAAACCAATTGATATGCCAAAGTTACCATCTGCTTTTTAATAACAAAGGATCAATGATTAAGATAAGATATGCTTATCTTCTAGTCAACTAGGTTTAGGAAGAAGTAGTGAAGGGGCACCTGGGTAGCTCAGTCAAGAGTCCAACTCTTGACTTTGGCTCAGGTCATGATCTCATGGTTCCTGAGTTCAAGCCCTGGCCTTCAGGCTCTGTGCTGACAGTGGAGGCCTGCTTGGGTCTCTCTCTCTCTCTCTCTCTCTCCCTCTTTCTCTGTCCCTCCCTAGCTCACTCTATCTCTCAAAATGAATAACTAATCTTTTAAAAAAAGGGGAGGGAGAGGTAGTGAAAAACACCCTTTTATTAGTCTTAGTGCCTTATATCAATGGAAGGAGTTAGTCCGTAGAGGTATACAATGTTACTGGTCACACTTACTAATGCTCCCTCTATATACCTTATTTTATATATGATCTTTTGTCTATATATTTTCTTAAGTGGAAGGTGTCATACAACTACCCCTTAGTAATAATAATAAAAAGGGCTTGTTTTTTATAAGTCAAGTATGGTTATGTTTATAAGGATTAAGTTACTGAGAGCAAAGCACAAAAGAAGCCTGGGCCATGACAACAACAAAGAGTTAGTAAGTGACAGTAATTTGTCTTTTGAGTGCAAGGATAATTTGGATGCAAAAAGAGAGCAAATAATATTAGTTGTAATAGACATGTTGATCTCAATATCACCTCATTTCAATATATAGTTACTCATACTGAAAATATTTTGCCTATATTCACAACAGTTTATGTTAACATTGTTAAAATAATTAAATGACATTTGTTTGCACTTAGGCTTACTGTTGAATTTAGAAATGAAGACAGATTTGGGTAGAAAATAGAAGTAATTCCCATCATACTCCCTACCTATAGTTTTGTGGTAATGTGAATTTTATTTTATTTCATTGAACAGCAAGGCCACACAATACTATGACATTATATTATTTAGAATAAGCAACAAAACACCAAATACATAATGATTCAAACCCAAATAAGCTTATTCTTCACTCTCTCAATATTCCAAGGTAAGAATTGGTCAGTGGTCTACTTTTCTTTCGCACAGTTATTTGGGCACCTTTCTTAGCTGGCCTCTGCCATCTCCTCGGGTTTTATATCCACATGGTGAAAGGAAAAAGATAGGGTGCAAGAAGCACCCCCGCTTCCGAAATTTTTGGTCCAGAAGTAACACATACTATTCTCATATTCCACTGCTGAGAACAACCCACATGGCAATATCCACTTAAGAGAGAAGCTGGAAAAGTAGTCTATAGAGCTTTAAGGCTGAAAGAAGAATAAAGAGGCTCTTGGTAAAAACTTAGCCAGTTTCTCCCACATATTGTTTGTGAAAATGATAATGGAAAGAAAAAGTACATAAAAAACATGTTATGCTTAAGTTTTCTGTTATGCACACATTAAAAATAGATCAAATGCAATTAATTGAAATGAATTGTCATAAAATTGATATCCAGTTCTATCACAAATGGTAAATACTTTTTATTATGTAGGTTTCATGTTCCTTGGTACGTTAATGATACACATTACTCTTACTTGCCTAAAAAACAAAACTACAGAATAGGAGAGCTATACTAAGCACATTGTTGCTAACTCTTGTGTCTCCACATGAATATATAAGCATCAATTCTCACAAGATAAATTGTTGTGAAAAGACTACATTAATCAGCCTTTCTCTATGCATTTACATGGGATTACTGTAAAATGTACCAATTTGACAAATAGTCACCGAGATTTCAGCTCATAACTAAGAGTG